AGTGATTATGAACAAATTTTCCAGTACTAATAGTCCGTGGTCTCGGGATTTTTCTCTACAGTAATTCAACCAATGAGGGAATGAATGTAAAAAAATGCTGCAAGGGCTTCTGCATCGATATCCTAAAGAAGCTTTCCAGAACCGTCAAGTTTACCTATGACCTTTACCTGGTGACGAACGGGAAGCACGGCAAAAAAGTTAACAACGTGTGGAATGGAATGATTGGCGAAGTAAGTTACCTTTTCACCCCACGGGATCTCCTTCAGACTCAGGGCCTGAGGTCCTCAGGGATGGCGGGGAGGGTAGGTAACGACACTGTGCTTTTCTCCTCGCATCCAGGTAGTCTATCAGCGAGCAGTCATGGCGGTTGGCTCACTCACCATCAATGAGGAACGTTCCGAAGTGGTGGACTTCTCCGTGCCCTTCGTGGAGACGGGAATCAGTGTCATGGTTTCGAGAAGCAACGGCACCGTCTCACCTTCTGCTTTTCTAGGTATCTGAACTTCAGAGTCACTGTGACTTTTCTACAAGGAATTATGGGCATTTTGTCTCGTTTGCTCAAAAGATGGAACCAACATATTCCAAAGCGTGTTGCATTTTAATGATCCCAACGCTCTCTTTTCTTCAGTTAACATCTTTCATTTATCTTTAACTTGGAAAAATCTGCTGAAAAAAATAATCACGTATTCAGATACTACTGGTCTTGATTGTGTAGAATGTAGACTAGTAGATATCTTTCTTAGAGCCTTGAAGACATTTAAAAAATAAACCCGTCTGTCCACAGTTAATTTAAATCAACCCATAAACCTTTATTCAGCATTTACATCCCCATCCTCTATCCCTCACTAGAATGATAGTTATTTATTTACTGGGTATAAGAGTGAAAATAATGATGACTGCACAGTGATTTATACCCATATTCTAATAAACGAAATGGAAGCAGTCTGAAGAGTATACACTGATTTAAAATTAATGGAGTCATATTTTAAATGTGACTATCCTTTAAGCTGAATGGCTTATGAAGGAGGAAATATTTTACTCTCCTTTTACTATTTCATAAATTTATGTTTTTACAGAAAAAAAAATTTAAAGCAAAATAGATTTATATTTTCTATCATCTGGTTTTCTTTAGCACTGTAAGTACATGTGTTTTAAGTAGCCTGCCTGGAACATAGCCAAACTTTATTTATTTTTCTTGAAAGAAAAATGTTTTGTTGAGTCTGGTTGTCATAAGTGGTTTTTGATAATGGCTATCTTGAAGATCGTGGAATTGAGATTAATTTCCCCTTGGCACTCCCCCAGGAGTGAGTTTGTCTCAAATTTGGGGCGATTAAGGCAAACATTGACCCCTAGAAGAAAACTGTACAAGAGGTGGGAAAAAGATTAAGGTCAGCTAAATTCCTTACATTTTTTAAAGACCAAAAAAACCAAACCTTTGTCCATTAGAGAATTCAAACTTCAGACTAGAACCAATTTCTGGACACCAACTCCAAGCTTATCATCTTAATTCTCCACTGTCTTCATTTACTTGTAATGTCAGCATCCAGCAAAACTTTTATGCTCATTCGCTTAAGTGAAGTGTTGACTAACAGGATTTTGGATACTGCCTTACTTACAGAGACATACGGTTGTGCAATTTTCTTTTTTGATAATCCATTTAAGCTGTTGGAATCCTTACCACTCACTGGCTTTCATTTTGCACTGGTCGCTTCAAATTTCGTAACCTTTGTTTGTGTTACATGGCCTTTGTCAGATACATGCCTCATTCTGTTCCTTTTGTGCCTCAGTCACGGATAAAAATGGCCATGCCTTAGTAAGGGAGCCTCACTGTACCATGAAATAGGCATCTGACTGATCGACATATGCAACACCTACAGAATCTTGATGCTGTTTGGATAGACTCTTACTGGTTAATCACTCCTAGTCATTCCCCTGCCCCCATTCCCTCTCGGACCCTGGAACAGGGATCTTCGGCCCCAGAGGTTCAGAAAGGGTTGGGAGAAGTGAATTCATGGAAAGAGACCTGTTTCTTTTCACAGATTGGCCACATATCTCTTTACTGAACTAGAGAGAATGTTTAATCAGTTTATTCAGAAAGGAAAAATATCAGTTGGCTTGTTTTACAAAAATGGGCCACTGATATCAAATCTGGCCTCAACCCAGGTTCTTTAGATTTTTATCTTACCTGCATTAGTAGAACATTTCCATAAAAAGTCAAGTATTTTTGCTAAATTTAGCCAAACCTTCTTTTCTCCCTACTCTTCCTACTGTGTGTGTGTGTGTGTATTTTTTTTTTAATAAAATGAATTGTAGCTAGAGGAAACTACTTTCAAATCTGTTTTTTCACAGTAGGCTTAATATTTTTTCTAGTTACTAAATTACATTCCCATTCGATTGGCTGTACACCCCTTTATTTACGGTCATTATCTGCAGGTTTTGAAAGTCGTAATGAACTGTGCTAAGCTACATTTTCCCCATTCACTGGCTCAGTCATCCGGAAGAGCCAAAACATTCAAAATCTGATTGCAATGCTCTTCATTATTTCTTATTCTCTCTCCTCCGCAAACCTCATTAACTCACATCGGAAACCCTTGCAGGTAATGCCTCTGAGCTTTTGTGTAAAAATGTAACCGTGAGTCTTCAAGGACAGAGATGACGTCTCTCGCAATATTTCCGTTCAGTTCATTCTAAAGACTTTCTAAGCAGGTTGGATGCTTTGATCCAAAGAAACACTGACCCGGAGTCTCCTAGATTGAAGTTCCCTCATGGACAAAATGTTGACTCTGTTTTAAGCCAGTAGAGGTTATAATCCAGAGTTATCTATACATATTTCTGGGTCACTCCTTAGACATTATAAATATAGTTTTTCACCATTGTTCTAACGCTTTTTGCTGTGAAAGATGTGGTTGTTGTGTGTGTGTGTGTGTGTGTGTGTGTGTGTGTGTGTGTGTGTGTAGCGTCTGACAATAGCAATCCTTCAGAGAACTAATAGGTACCTAACTTACTAAAACCAGAATACCACAGCTGAATCCTTTTACCTCTGTGCTGTACTTACAAGTCAAGGGACAGATGTTGTCACATCCAAGTGAGAAAACATCTGGCATCAGTCACTTGCCCAGTTCTGACCAGTTAGAGACTAGGACGAATCAACTGCCAAATGAAGTCCACTGCGGATTTACAGATTCTGACATGTGAATGGAAAGATTCAGTAAGAATTTCCTCTTATATTTTTTATAATGTTGTCATAACCTGTGGAGAAAAGGAAGTTACCAGATTAATTAGCGTGCGCGTTTTAAAAACCAGACGCCTTTGTCAGGACCCTGAACGGCAGCCCACCATCACCAATTCTGGCTGTACCTGTAGAACCAAACAGCTATTTCATTTAATTTATTACATGTGTACAGGGTGCGACACATGCCACCAAATGCTTTACGTGTACGTGTCCATTTATTCATCACAGCGATCGTACTCTGGTAAGACACACTATGCCATTAGTATACCTGATGTGGAAATTACTTTAACATCTCTATTATCTCTGTTCTTGAATAATAAGTAATTTTAATCTCCTCATTATTCATTTATTTTTCCTCCTTTTTGGATACACCTCATTACCAAATTGCTATGATTTCAGGGACATAGTCTTGTTTATTACTCAAGCTAAACGTAACTAAGATAAATTTCAGTTGTGGCCTCATTGATTTCTTCGAGCTCATCTTACGTTATTTCAGTCAAGCAATTTGTGCCGTTACCTGTTGCCTCTTGACATATTTGCACTATCAGAACTGCGTTACAAAGCATTGTTTCCAGTTTTTAAATTATCCTGTATGGTTAAAGTTTCAGATATATTGGTTTCTTCTTATATAGTAAGCTCAGTAACTTGGAATTTGTGATGACCTCTAGCTATGTTAGGAAGTGACAGACTTTAATAAGAAGGTAGACTGCTACCAGCCTGCTGTTTTATGACTATGACTAGCTTCATCAGAAAAACAGTTTTAAAATAATAGAATGTCTCCTACTCAAGAAGTATTTTGGGGCTTCTTACATTTTACCCTCAGAAAATGTTTGTTTGTGATGAAATGGATTATAATTTCGTTGGTGTCCAAGGGCAGTTTCTTTTCAATGATGCATTCAAGTGCAGATCTATTCATTTTTAAAATTTTAGTCTCTGCTGCTTTCTAGCAAATCTGTATCCTGTGTGGATAAAATGGCTCACTTTCATCTCCTCGATCAGATTGAAATGTTAATTTATTTTACATACCATCTCTTACCTTAAGACTTAGAGCCTTGTGACTGGGCCTGGCCTTCTGCGACCTCCACATGACAATGAACTGGTGGAAAGAAACTACTTTTAGGGGAAATAATCATCTATCCAACTACTACTCCGTTCCCTCTACTCTTTAAGCGATGCTTTTTCATTGAATTATCGTGGGAATGTAACATCCTCCAATGACTTTTCAATTGCATTGAGGCCCATTACCAATGTCGGCAAGGTTCTAAAATCGTAGAGGTCTCATTTGTCTGGAGCAGAAGGCGAGACAGAGAGTGTGATAGCAATGGTGGCAGAAGTGACCGTCCCAAATTCCTATCGACCCCATGATTTTACGATCCTTTTCTAAAGAGTTATAATTCTTTCTTTACTTCTGGAATTCCTTGCACATCATCCTTCCAGCATGCGAAAGTAAAAATGAAAACAGCAATGAAACCCATGCTGGTTTGCAGGAGCCACTGTTTGAGTCTAGCCTCGTTTCTCCCCAGCTTTGGTTTCCTGGATGATTCTAGGACTGTGTAGGACCCTGTGGCCTCTTTATTTGCATTCCAGCTTCCTCCCTCGATCTTACCATTCTATTTTTTTTTTTTTATTATCCTTGACCCGATTTGTAAAATGTCATATGCTTTTCTCTATTTTTATCCTATTCTATGCAGTCTTTTAAAATACCTCAAATATTCTGTAGAATAAAGAATGGTTTAAATGTCTGAATAAATGATGGCTACCTCCTTTTGAACGATCAGATTCACATTAGAGACAGTTCCTCCGTGAGCCTGCAAACTGGACCTCAGGGCTCCCTGCTGGCTATAGCTGTGAGGAAAAGCAAACTGACCGTGTCTCTAACCCTCTGGCCTGTATCTCCGCAGAACCATTCAGTGCCTCCGTCTGGGTGATGATGTTTGTGATGCTGCTCATTGTTTCCGCCATAGCTGTTTTCGTCTTTGAATACTTCAGTCCTGTGGGATACAACAGAAACTTAGCCAAAGGGAAAGGTGAGAATGCCTCCGTCAGCGTGATTCACTGTTGGCGTTATTTAATTTTCCTTCAGTGATGATTTCAGGTTTAGAACATGTTGTCCTAAATTGCCTCGCTAAAAACCCTTGTGCAAATGGTTCTGGGTCACTGATGCTACTTGTAACTCACAGGGATGGGTTAGTGACTTCAGCTGAAAAAAAAAAATGGATAAAAGAAAATGAAACATTTTATCTTCTTGTCATTTGTTGAGAAAGCAGATCTGAAGTTTTTTCCGGCAATTTAAAAAATCTAAGTCAAAAGAAATCTTAAAGTCGTAGTGAGCCTCGACTTCAGGCTATGTAAGAAAATGGTTTTACATAATCTAGTTTAAGAATATTCTCCAAAGTACTGACTCATAATTTCATTTGTTTGACAATAGATGTAATTATAAAATGGTATTTTCCCCCCAGAGTTACAGTTTTCTCTTGACAGTGCCTGGCCTTGGTGCACTGTATTTGACAAAGCGGGAATCAGCAGATAGGAAATTGAATTGGAAGGCATTGGCTACCACTTATGAACAGGCTCCCACGTAAGCCAGCATTCACATGCTATACATAAGCACATTACATCATTTTAAGTGAATGCTCTTTCCCGAAAAAATGACTCGAGATCGTAGAAGACAGCAGAGCTTCAAGATACAATTATTAAAAAAACAGAAAACAAGGTACTTTAATTTGCCACCTATTCTTTTCACCTGGGAGGTCCAGGGTTGGAAGCAGCCAACAGGTCGTGGAAATCTGTTAGGAACTTAGCTATATAGAAAGCCTCCTATAAAAATGCCATAAAAATCATGTGTTTAAATGGGAGTAACCCCAGCCTTCACGAAAAAGACAATGCAATTCACCAGTAAGGAGCTTTCCACCAGGGTGGAACCTGAGACAGTGTTCTGTGAGCGATCATACTGCAGTTGAGTAGGGCTTTACGTTTTCAGAATCAGAGTTTGTGCTGCGTGTGAATTCACACATTTATTCGATGAACATTGTCGAGTGGGTACTATGTGCCAGGCACTGTACCTGGTGCAGCAGGGTGGGGATGACATGGTGAATCGGATAGAAACTTCTAACCCTCAGACAGCTGAGAATGTAGTTGTGGGGGCAACACGTAAACACATAAATCAATAATCACAGATGGCAATAGATCTTGAGAAGAAGGGGAGAAAAGCAAGGCGTCGTGGTGGGGTGGAGCGTTACTTAAACAAGACGGTCGAGCAGGGAACGAGTTTGGGAGG